CTGTGCATGATTTTTAATAATAAAGCTTGAAGCAGTGAAATATTGATCTTATTATAGTTTTAAACAGTTAAAAAACAAATTAGAATAATTCTTCCGGCTGATTTTCCAAATAAACGTGTAGTTTTGAAACACACCAATAAGAACTGTCTGTGATAAGGATAGCTGAATATTAAATAAATACACATATGAGTTAATTTCTATAAAATGAATATGCCTGAAAAGACTTATTTAAATGTGGAACCCGGTAAAGTATTTAAATTAGGAAATGACATTCCATGATGTGCACAAAAGAGTTATACTGAACATAGTTTACAAATGGCTTTTAAGTTATACTGACTCAGATCCTATGGTAAGCGAAAATAATTAGAATTTTACAAACAAAATATAAGCAATGATTCTATGGCAAGAATCATAAGGATCAATGCAACATGGGAATGAATGCGATAGAAGCCTGGAGTGGTCAAAATGATGACACACACAACTTTCGTAAAAGTTTAATTCTGTTTTGATGATCCCATTTCATTACGTGACACAATAGCATATTAAAGAGAATACGCAACAGGGATGCACACTACGTCCGAATTTTATAGAGATCGATGCGAACAAGAGTGCATCACGATATAAATCGAAGATGGCTTGGAGGCTAACTAGCACTTATTGGATGAATACAAAGTGCTAATCGATATTCATTATTACACAATTTTTCCAAGACTAATAATATCATTGAAGGTGAATGTACAAAAGCAACTAAGAAGAAAAATATGTGGTAATTGACTTGGTTACTGACCTGTACATCTCTAGGCTTGCTATTAAGAGTGTTTGTATTATATCCGTTAGTAACACCTGAGCCGGTTTGGCGATCACTGACTTTTCGCAGTTGATAACCAGCACGGATAGCTGACAATAAGTCCTGAGGGGGTCCGGAATTTGTGGCCACAACTGAAGGCTTGGAGATCGTTCCAGCTTGTAGTATTGGAAGTACTTGAGGTGGAGGGGGTGGAGGTGGTGGGGAAGGCTCGAGTCGTGCTACATTAGCTTCAGCTTCAGAACCATCTAAAGGAACCTGTAAAGGCCCATTTAAAGGTATCTGGTCAGCAAGTGGTGGAGGCGGAGAAGGAAGAGGTCCATCGCACATCGGAGGAGGAGGAGGAAAATCGCGAGAAGTGAGTGATGTCTGAAAAGTCAATTAGAAGTGTATACAAACAAAATTATTTTTAATAGCGAAATGCGGACAGGCATGCTTTCGAAAAACTATATGCATGATAGGGGAACTTATTACAATAAAGGGTCTTCGATATATAGGAAATAGGGTACACCAAGACAACTCAAAAATGAGATTGCTTGAATCATGGTTCCTTGGTACGCCAACTCCGCTGAATCTAAAGCGCCACACAAAAATAATGCTCATAGAATTATGTACTAATGATCATGAAGAGAAGAGATGCTAACGAAATCTGATAGGCATATTGTTCATATAGCGAATTTGAAGTTGATTTCGAAACGAAGTGAAATATGGAAAGGGCGAATCTTTAATTAGCAGGCATAATAAATAATTGCAAAATTCCACAAAACTGGCAAATTCGGTAGAAAAATCAACGTTAATAATAGTATATAGTGAAGAAAGCAAGGGGGGAAATGGGTCACTAACCGAC